ATCTCCTGCAGAGCTCAGGAATTGCTGTCTGTGAGTGACATGCATCTGGGAAAGGTGACCTGCTAACACTTGTCCAAAACTGAGCACAATTAACCCCTCAGGATCCAGAAATTGAGTAGACTTTAACAGGAATTGGGTTAGGGTTAGGGTTAGGTTAGGGTTAGGGTTAGAGTTAGGATTAGCCTTGGAGCCTGAGGATACGATGGGATATATTTGATTTTCTGACTGATTTGTTTTTCTGATCTCTTGGTCAATATTAAGTTGAATCATTCAATTTGAGTTTATATTTGGATTTACCAGAGCTGACAAACTTACGTTGATACCAGATTTACAAGCAGAGGGTAGGGCTCAGGTTAGAGCAGGCTGAAGGGCAGGGCTGGGGCAGGCCAGCTGGGGCTGGCCCATAAATTTCTTCACCCTGTCAGTAAGTGCATGTTTTATAGCCTGTAGTACCAAAGTTTTGGATTTCACTTAAGTTTTTGCTTGCATGGGACCTTTTTAATGTATAGAGGGTTTAAGTTCAACTTAGGTGTTTTTATTCTATTGCTGAGACATCCCATCATTTTTTGGACTCCTTATATTCTCATGGCCTAGTAGTTTGTTGGTACTGCTAACTGCATGTGCTGTACACAGCAGTTCCTCCTAGGTGTCAAGCAAAGAAGGTGACAAAACACCACATGTAAAGTGCATATCACAAGTTTATTCTTCTGCACAAACAAATAGAAAGTGACTGTAAATTGGAAAAAAAAAAAGACAGAAAAGGAAAAAAAGTATTTCCATAAACAAAGATGCCAACTCTGTTCTTCTTCTGGGGTCACATCTTCCACCAGACAGAGCACTGCTGCTGGGCTCCCATTTACTGAGCACTGATGAGTCTCTTCTAGGAACAGGGTCTGGTAGGGGATGCTGGATATTATAGCAGAAAGGGAGCATATTCTTCTCAGCAGACAATCTTGGCTTGCACTGCACTCATGTCTGGTGATCAGTGACCCCTCATCACACCAGTCTCTTCCGAGATTCTTCCTCTCAGCTGTTGCAGGATCTTGAGGTTATCTCTGGCAAGTGTTCCCACATATTCAGAGGGAAAGGACTGATACTTCTGAAGCAAAGATAAACCCCCAGAACTGCCATAGCTGCAATGTGTAACCTGCAGCATGCTAGAGAGGAGGGATGATAGGCAGTTTTAAATCAGAGCCCATGTGGACATCTTCAAATGCTTAACAAGGGGACACTGGGGTTTGGCCTACCACTGCAGCTTATAACTTAGCAGGTGGGAGCTAAAACTTGTCAAACAACTGTTTCTGTCTGTGCTTATTCAACAGCTAAGGAATTAGAAATTTGGAGAGGCTCAAGACAAGCTTATATAGTTCAAAAGTATTCCTCGTAACCTCACCTGAGACCTTTCTAACAGGCCAGCCACAATATTTTCATGAGCAGTCACTAGCAGAGCTGCTTGAAGCCAGCAGTAGTGCAGGTTTCTTCATTATAGCTTAGCAGATGCATCTCAGTGTTATTTCTCATCTCATGCTACTTGCAGCCACAGGCCTTATTTGGGATATGCCACAAGCACTGTAGGCCTCATCTGCAACACCCTCTGCTTCTGCACATCATGTCCTGTGTCAGCATACCATCCAGAAAAGATCGGGAGGGGCTGAGAGCCATCAGACTACTTTGGCTTTGCTTCTAAACATAGCTTTGAACCAAGCATGTTAGAAGTGAAATGCAGGATGCCCAGCCTCCTGGTTCTTTTCCTTGCTCTGATGTTTAATACTCATTCCCCAATCAAATCTATCTTTTTTTCATCTCCTGCCCATTACACTATCAGAAATGATGAGCCAAATGCAGTTATTCCACCCACTTGAGTCCTGACATCTAACACTCAACAGTGTTTGGCCATCACTCCTTGGCTTGCATCAGCGTCTCCCAGAAATCTGGAGTGTGACCACTGAAATCCTAACCCCACGCAATTTCCCTTACATGCTAAGGCCAGACCTTTCTTTTTTCCCAGTGGAAAAATGAATTTCCCAAGACACTCAGGCCCTGAGAGCACTTACCTTTAGGGGCCTGAGGGAAAGAGACACTGGAGTAAGATTCAGACTTTCTGAGGTTATTTCTTCACTGCAGAATTATCTTGAGCACCCTTTCTCTGGTCCACACAACCCCTCTCTACACCTGAGTTCAGTAATGCTTTCAACCTGGGCTAGCTTGTCTGTCTAAGGCTAGTGGCTAAAACCACTAGCCAGTGACAGCACTCCGCATGGAGACTAGAGACAAAGCTTTTGGAACACTGCTAGTCCTTGAGCTCCTTCCCACAGCTTTCCTAGAAAAATAGAAGATGACTCCTTCCATGTTTGGGAAGAATCACAGAGATTCAGCTTGCTACAGCACACAGGATTTTTTTTCCAGAAACGCTGGCAATGCAATGCAGCACAGGATGAGTGAGAAAGCAATTGTCCAAGTCAGGTTTTGTAGCGTGGCTGCTCCCCTTCAACAGAGCTAAGTGGATTCTGGTGATCCGAATTAACTCTGTGGTGACAGCTTGTCCTAAGACCTCCCCTGTGGGGCTTTCCAGGAACACATACAATCACCTCATCAGTTCAGCTCGGCTGCTCTGCTATGTCATACAACGAATTGCAACACCTCTTCTGGCTCACCCACCCCTTTGCTTATTAACTAAAGGCAATCCCAAAGGTTTTCTCTCCATCCTCTCCCATGGCTGATAGTCTGCCAAGTGAGGTGTAAATACTGTCCTCCTCCCTTCCCAGCACGCTCATCCTATGCTTCAGGGCCCCCAGGAATGTGCACTGCAAACACAGGCCTGCAGAACAAGCCCAGCCAGAGCGTGAAGGATTCAAAGGCAGGATTGTGTATTACTTTTCCTTTTCTTTCATTCTCTCCCCCCCAAGCTTGTCCAGGACTAGTGCTGCTAGCTAGGTTCTTTAGCCCTCTTTTTCTTCATGGGAGAGCACACATGCAAAATCTCCAGGTGCTCACAGAGAAGCACTTTAGAGCCTTCAAGAAAAAGTAGAGCCCCCAGCTTTTGTGAGAAGAGCTACACATCATAAGCTCCAGCTGCACAGAGGAAGGTTGGCTTGGACTTAGTGTGAAACCACACTAGCTGCACTGCTTACAGACTTGGCATCAGCCCCATTTGCACTCCTTTTTTTCTCCCCAGAACCTACAGTTTTGTACATCCAAAGATTGTGCTCAGTCCAGTCAGAGAACGGCTTCTGCTTGAAGGAGAGGAGCTAGTCTAATGAGATGGAGACATGTCTCTGGCAGGGCTATGGGACCCTCATCCTGCCTCCAGTACTCATTCCTGAGGGTCCAGCAAAAGACTGGGGAACCCCTGCCCAGGAAGAGGTGGCAAGCCCCTTCCCTGCAGCTGGGGCATCTGCTGTGTTTGGGAGCCAGTGCTTCAGGAGCAGTGCTTTCTTGGTGTACTTGTGCGATCACACTGTAAAAGTGGCTGCTGCCAAAGGGGGAGCACAGGCAGAAAGCAAGTGGCAGGGGTGTGTGCAAACCAGAGCACAGATGACATGGACATACACATGCACAGTCCCTGCTAATATCCTGAATTCTTCCTTGGGAAACGGAATGCTTTCTTTTTGTATGCCTTTAGTGTAGGGATTAAGTCTGAGGCTAGCCTGGGATGTTCAAGGAATAACCAGTCCTGTTTCCCCAGCATCGCCAGCAAACTGAGCTCTCTATGTGTGTGACAGTGCAGATCCTCTGGGACTCTCAGAGCACTTCAGTTCTTACCAAATAGACCTCAGGGATACTTAAATAATTTAGTATGAAATTCTACTTGTGACTGTTTCCCTGTCCTCCACTTCCATACTGAGAGCATCTGTAAAGGGGCTTCGTTTTCCAGCTCATCACAGAGTTTTCAGCAAGTTTGATGTCATGACTCATTGCCAATCTAGCCACACTTCTGTCCTAAACTAAACAAAAAGATGATGTGCAAATGCATATTCAATCCTGTCTCCTTTTAAAGCAACTGTACCTTCTCCCACACGATCCTCCTTTGTACTTACACGATCTGTATCCTGTTCCAGTGGGACTAATGCTGCAGAACCTTCCTTGTGCCAACCAGCCAATGCCTGAGCTTAGCTTTGATTTTGTTTATCCTCAAAAATTGATAGTTCCTTCTGCAGTTCCTCCAGCTTGTGACAGCCCCATCAAGTCCATTCAACGCCCCTCTTCGGCAGACCGCTCGCAGACCTGATGATAGCCATGTTTAGCACCAGCTAGGATGACTCTCCCTTTTACCCCGAGCCCTGGTGACTGGAGGGACAGGCCCACATGGCCACACTCCTGCGCAGGGCACACTGCCCACACATGCATGCACAAGCACCCCTGCTCACTCTGCTCTCTTGCCTCCTTTCCCATACCCCTCCGGAGGGGAGTCTGAGAGAAGTGTCCAAGGCGGAGCCCCACTTCTACTTTGACTTCCTATTGAGTGTTGCTGTGTGCATGTGTGTGTGCACACACAGGTGTGTGTGTACAGACTGACAGGCTTAGAGGAAAGCAGTCTAGCGGGGAAGCTAGGGCTTCTGTACCATAATCCCACCTCTGACCCTTTCTTCCTGGAAAGCTCTTGCCCCCCAGTCTCCCTCCATTCAGGGGGGTGACTCCAAAGCCCTTGGGGAAGGACAACCACTACTGTCTTCATGTCCTCATGTTAGACAGCCCCTGCCATTCACCCCCTCCAGAGGTGGGTTTTGCTGTTGCGTGCAAGTTCCCAGTCTCTGTGTACGACACGTGCCCTCTCTCCACATTCTTCCTCCTGCTGTAAGCCACAGCCTGTAAGCCCTGCCATGAAGCTGCCCATGTGAGACCAAGGGGAGGCTGGGGGAGAGGGTGGTGCAGAAGGAGCGTAATTTTTTTTTCTCTTTTCTTCATTTTGTGTCACTCATCCCAACATACTCAGCTGACAAGAAAGACAAAACGAGCACTACCTCTGCAGGGCCATGGACGGGATGGGAGGGGTGCCTGCCTTAGTGGTGGCCAAAGCTCGGCCTCCACACATTGGCCTGCATCCCTGTTCTTGCTGCTGAGAATTTGGGCCTGGCCACCTGAAACCGAGAGGCCGAGGCTGGGTTTGGGGAAGGCCCCTGGCCCACCTGACCGGGCTCTGGGGAGCTCTGGTATGGCTTAGGGGACTGGCTGAGCTCCACCTGGAAGGGCGCTGGTGTAGTGGGGGCGGAAGAGGCCATTTCTGTTCTCCACACCGGCTCATCCAACGTGGTGGCCGAGCGGGGCACAAGCACGGTGGGTGCCAGGCTGCTTGAGGCTGGCATGGGAGCCGGAGTGGAGAAGCGACGAATCTCCTGGGTCTTGGCTGTTTTCACCGGGACCTGCTTGGCTGCCGTGAAGGACGAGCTAGCCTGAGGGGCTGCCTGACCAGGAGACTCCTGAATGCTGGAGCTTGGGGGATCCCCAAAACAGAACATGGCTGACTTTAATTGGTAGGGCTGGTGGCGCATTAAATCAATGACCTTGATCCCTGATTTCTGGCCAGGTGCCTTTTTCACTTTGCTCTCTGCTTTGCTAGCCTGAGATTTGCTAGCTGCCAGAGGATAGAAAGGGGAATGCATGGGGTTGTAAGCTATTGGAGGGGGAGCCCTGATGTTGGGTGAATATTTCCAGGATGAGGGTAGAGAAGGGGAAGGAGAGGGGGTCCTGGGCTTGGACTCTGGCTTCGGTGTCGTCTCCACCACAAATTTGTCCATGCGGCTCTGGCGTTTGGCAAAGAGCTCTGCCCCCTTGCCTTTAAGCTGAGGCATGTCCTGGGCCCCATTTACCAGACCACCATCTTGCTGCTGAGGCTTAGGAGCCACCGGAGGTGGGGTCTTGAACTTTCGGCCAGAGGACTGCATGAAGTTGCAGGCCTCAGCGCCCAGGCTGAGGAAGTCTTCCTCAGGCCCAGACTCGAAGCCTGCCCCAGGGTGGTCACCTTTCGGCTTCTCATCCAGGTTCTGCACCAGAGACAGGAGCTCTGGGTTGGGTGAATTCTTCTTCTTCTCCTCAATCTTACTGAACATGGGTTTCTTGTTGCCCCGCCGGCGAGCCTCCTGCAGGATGCCTGTGCGGGGAGCTGGTACGGCAATCCTCTGCTCCCTGGAGGTTAAGGGCTCAGAAGGAGGTCGTGGCATTGCTGGTGAGATGGCAGGAGAAGGCTGCTTTGGCACGGGGGAACTGCTTATCGTGTGCTGTGATGGTGCTGGACTAATATACAAAGAAGAAGAGGCTGTTCCAGGGACTCGTGGCTGGGATGCTGCGGAGGCCACCTCCCCCCCTGGCTTCGAGGGAGTTGACAGAAAGATAGAGGTGGTGGATGTCCGGGCAGTGTTGGCAGAAGGCTTCGTCTCTGGAGCACTTCCTCCCCCTCTTGGCTGTGACTCCAGTGGTGGTGTTGGCCTTCCTGGTGCAGGAATATACAGAGATGTGGAGGAGCTGACTGGACTGCGGTGCGTTGGCACTGGTGCATTGGCAGGTGTTCCTGGAGCCAGAGGCGAGAAAGGGGGAACCACTGTGCTTTGCCCACCCAGACTTTCACTAGGTTTTTTGGGTGCAGATGGCCTGAAGATGACAGAGGATGTTGCTGGGCGTTGGCCAGAAAAGCCAGGAGTAAAGGGCCGTGCAGACCTGTTGAACATGCTCGTTGTGCTTGCAGAGGAGGGGTCAGGGGTGCTTGGGGGAGGCGGGAAGAAAGTGGGGCTAGGGGGAGCCAGGAGCTGAGTGGGGAGGGTGGCTGGCTGCTTGCTGGGCACTTGCACGCCTTCCAGGTGGATGCTGAGGGGCACACTGTCTGCCTTCTGTGGCACAGGCATGTCTCCGTTCACTGTGCCCTGCTGCGGCTGGGCAGCCGGGGCAAGCTGGGGCCTCTTCTGTGCTGGGACTTTCTCGACTGTGTACTTCCCAACCCGTTCCCTCTGCTGCTCAAATAATCGTGCTCCTTTACCTGAGGCCTCACTTAAACCTTTTTGCTTCTCTTCCTTCTGTTCAGAGTCAGACTTGGCCTTTTCAATGTCCAGGTAAGTGGTGTCCCAGTCTGAGTGATTAGTTAGGCTTCGGGCATCAGAGAAACCTTCCTCATCAAATTCAGACTCACTAGTTGGAAAAACTCCGTCTTCCTCCTCGTAGGAGCGGTCTTCGTCGACACTCCCAAAGCTTACCAATGTATACTTCTTAGCCCTCTGCCTGCGCTTCTTGAACATCAGCACCCCCTTGGAGTGGGGGTTGGGTGCGTCTGTCAGCAGGGATGCAATGGTTCTGCACTTGGTTTTGGCTTCTTTCACGTTCTTCTCTTGGATGCTCTCGTGGCGGTGGAGCTCTGCAATGAACAAAAAGAGGCAAGCTCAGAGTTCAGCAAGGGGCTGGGTGAGCAAAGATGGACAGTGGTATGGCTGTAAGTATTCTAGTACCCATACGAGGAGACACACTGTCACCCCCTGCCCTTCTTTTTCTTTCCTACTTTTGCTGATAGTGTCTTTAGGAACTGCT